GTTACTAATACTGACTCCCATCCCACGGGAATCCCGTGACCCGTGGGATTCCCGAAAAAATGTCAGTCTCTAGTGAGGAGGGAGGCTGTGACGCTCAAGCTAGCCCGACGGCTTGTTGTGCTAATGTCAGACATGCCAAGTCTCCTGGGGGTTTGATAAGCATGTCCCTGAAATGAGCTTTTGGAACTTGTGTGATGTGTGATCATATACTGCTAAAAATTGCATAATTGTATCGTCTTGGCCGATTTAAGGAACAGTCGCCGTATCCTGAACCTTTATCATGTGTTGTACTTCATATGGGGCCCACCCAGATAATGTTGCTTACGGGCCTATTGTTGTTGTTGTCATTACGCCATTGACTCTATTTGTGTTTTTGTTCATGTGTAGTGAAGTCTATGTTGTCATCTCTAAAGACAGGGGATTCACGGAATGCTCCCACTACATTTTGCGGCATTGTTTGGATTCCCAGATTGTTGTCGCAAGTTACTGTCCAATGGTGAGAGTCCCTCTAAATCCTTCATCGTGATCGCAGCTCTGCTCTGGTCAAATTTAGCTACAGTTTTTCTTTGTTTATTTTAAACTCAGGCCAGTTCTACAACATGATTCAAGATGGCCAAATGCCAACCCTGGAGTTTGATATAAACACCCCAGACGACTGTGGAAGGACCTGCCTGCATGCAGCTGCCTCTGGAGGGTGAGGAGACTATCATTAATGAACTCGACCCGGCTACAGTTAAAGTTTGACCAGAAATACGCTTTGGTTATGGAATAAATAAAATATGGAGTGCATTTTGTTCCATTATTGTTGCTAGCAAACACACAGTTTGTAAATTAAATAAAAAAAAAAAAAAAAGAAATGAAACATTTTAATCAAAAATATTTTGGGATTAACTTTGCTGTGTTCTCAGACTTTTTTTTTTTTTCCGTATTTTTAGGTTGTCAAATTTTATATTTGTATTTTTTTTTTTTTCATGTTCTTTCAGAATTAGTTTTATGATTTCCATGTTCTTCAAATTGCATTTTACGTCCGTTGGCTTGTTAAAGCTCAGCAGACCAATAGAAATGGGTCACTAAACAGGAAAGCCCGCCCCCAGGAGGGAAAAACATGTGATGTCTAAATTGCAGTTTGAAAAGAATGCAATTTGTAAAACACAATCTGAAAAGCAAAAAATGGAAAATATATCTGTGAAAAAAAGTTTTTTTATTGGTTTATTTTTTTGAAGAATACATTTTGAATAAAAAGAAAACCTGGAAAATATATATAAAAAAAATAGAAAACAGTGCAGTAACTCTCAAAGCCTTTTCAAGATTAAAATGTTTTTCAAAGTTTGATTTCTGATTACCTTTTCTTCAAAAAACATATTACTAAACATGTTTTTTGCTTGCAACAATAACTGGAAAAAATTCTTAGGCTTAATGATTTCAATCATTGTTTTTGTTGTGATTATCCTATTTTGCAGTAACAGCATTAGCAGCGAGGAAGGTTAGCATCTTTAATGGGTTAAACTCAAACATGGCTGTTTGTAGAGCAGCAGCTGGCGGTAATGAAGCTGTTGTTCTGTCAGATGAGCATACCCCGTCAGACCAGCATACCCATAGTCAATATGCATGTGCAAGATGTTAGATTTGCATTTATCCCTTTAATTTTGTACAAAAAATATACTTTAAACTACCTCAACTAGCATGTATCCCTTTAGTCATGTACAAAAAAACCAAAGCAATTTAGGGTCAGACACAAAAAAGTAAATTGTTTTTTTGTACATGACTAAAGGGATATACGCCCTTTGAGGTAGTTAAAAGTCTATTTTTCGTACAAAACTAAAGGGATAGTCAAGTATTGACTATGGGTATGCTGGTCTGACTGGGTACGCTCATCTAACAGAACACCGTTACTGATTCTACTATCCTAAGTGCGTCCTGGCTTCCTATTGCATATCTTGATCTTTGCTGCTAAACTGTTAAATAATGACCTTTAAGGAATCATTGAAATAAATAAAAACTTCAATCCTTGTTTTATTTGTTGCATATTTTTAATCCCTTTGTTTGGTTTTGGTCTCCTGTTTTGTAGAAATGTCGAGTGTCTTAATTTGCTAATAAATAACGGAGCTGAATTGGATATCCAGGACGATTTGGGGAGGTAAGCTGTAGGAGATGCAGTATGGTCTGAGCTGAAGTTTATGTTTATTTTTTTTTATTCACCTCTCCCCTTTAAAACATTTTGCCTTTCCGTTTCTCACAGATCTCCTCTGCACTACGCCGCAGCCAATGGGAACAGCCAGTGTACGATTTCTCTAGTGAGAGCCGGAGCAGAAGTCAACGAGGCGGATCTGACGGGCTGCAGCCCTCTGCACTATGCTGCCGCCTCGCACACTTTCTGTGGGTAAGAACATTTTATTCTAAAACTTGTCCTACCTGGAGGTAAAACGTATAACTCTTTGAGTTTAAGGTCATAGTATCAGTGGGTGAAAAGGCAACGTCTAAATGTTCCTTTAAGGCTTTTTGCTCCTGCCTTTGTGGTATTCCTGTTAAACAGAGCTTTCCTGTATATTCTATTAAGGCCAAAAAGATGACAGTGCTGTCATTTTAAATCCTAATTATTGTTTTCAACCAGTCTCTATATTTACTTGACAATGAAGATTGCATTCAGCCAACTGCTTTAAGTTTTTATTTTCTGGTCAAGCAAAAAAATCAACAGATAATTTTCAGCAAACAGGAAACTATTAATTTTTCTTTTTCTTTTTTTGGAGCGTCTGTAATTCTGCTCAGATTATGCAAGTTTTACGTTTAACTCAGAGATGGATAGGAAATTAACTGTTAAATTGACCAAAACCATTCTTAGTTATCACTTGCAATGGAAGCAGCAGTTATTATAAACCGTTGCTCTTTATCAACATTTTGGGTTTTCTCCTTTGAAACCTTGGGATACGATGTGGAACTACTTCAGTGCACCGTGTTTAGCCCGTGTTTACTTCCTGGTCTCTGATCCAGTCACATGAGACTGGATCCATGGACACCTAAATAAAGCTTATTGCTCTTTTAACTGCTGGCTTTTTTTTTTCCACAGGGAGGGATTAAAATATGAAGCGAACATAAGCGAGGAAAAACGACAGGAAGCCTGCCTGTGAGTAAATCCGTTTTTAGTTGAATTGTGCAGTTTTACATATTCTAGTGTTGTTTTACTCTGATTTTTTCCAGGGTATTAATTATGGAGAGACATTTAAAAATAATATAAATAAATAGATACTGTTGTTAATACATTTTCAATAAAACCATAGGCTGTTCTAGAAAGGGGCCTACAGGGACCAGTTCCCCTGTTATGGCCCCTTTACCGAAGACTAAAAGATATGCTCTGGTCTATCTAATTTTTTTTCTTCTACAATTCTGTTTCACTAATTTTTTACAGCAGAATTTATTAGTTTTAATTGAGTTCTAATTCCGATTTGATTGAAAATGTTCATTTTCACTTAAAATAAGTCAAAAATATGTAATATTCCTGAATTATGAATGTACCTTGACCTAATATTCCAATGAATAGCTTTATGTGATCTTTTAGATGTTTCTTTAGCTACTAGTTTTTTAGAGTTGCTTTTTTGCTATGCTAAGGGATTTTTATTTTATTTTAGCGATAATCAAAATGAAAATTTTCAAAACAAAAATTAAAATGTTTTAGTTGGAAGACATTTTCATTGTGTAGAAATTTGCCTTCATGCAGCTCTCTTGATATATCTAAATCCTTTGCCCTGTTTTCTGTTTCATGCTTTTCTGTGCCGCCATGAACCCCCAACCACCACCCTGCCCCCCCTTGTAAAATTGTTCTAGAACAGCCACTGCATAAAATAAATTGTACCCATAAAACACCTCAAAATACATAAGAAAATAAAAACTTTTCTCATTATACATCTTTATTTACCTCAATATTTATTTATTTATTAATTTGTTATGAAGATTATTTTTCTTAAATTTTTGTTTCAAAACATGATTAGTTTTTATTTTTTTGTATATTAATATAATTATTTGTAAATGCTTTCATTTGTTTCATAAAGTTTTACGCTTCTTATGTATTTTAAGGACTTTATATATATTAGTGTTGCACTGATACCGATACCAGTATCGGGCGGGGCCCCGATCCAGCAGTAAAATGGTGGTATCTGTATTGGCGAGTACCAACAAATAGTGCACATACTATTTTGAGAGCCAAAAGTTTATTCAACTATTGTCACCCATTCCAGGTTGGCAATAAAAAGTTCTACTGGATTCACTTTGTTTTAGTCTTTTTCCTGCTTCACAAAGGTAGACAGCAGCTTGACAAAGCCATGATGGC